AGGTGAGGAGTTACTTAGCCAAGCATAGGTGACTCAAAGTTGCCTGCATCACTGAAAAGTCCACCCCAGCATAGGTGGCAACTCACAAAACTGCATCCCTGGAGTCCCTTCCCTGCACAGCCTGCAGGCAACTCTGATGATGGGAGCAGTTCCTTCTGCAGCAATTGGTGCTGCTTATATAAACTGGGTAAATCTTGTAGCTTCCTGAGCTCCCTAAGCCTGATAAGTTGCACGAGCTTCTCTCTTCCCTCCGGGATGGATGTTTCAATTCCCAGGAATTAACTACACAACAGTTGACTATAATGCCTTGTCTCCTGCGGAAAGTCTGGGTCTCCATCTCTGTCTCCCTCTCCTCCCCCCTCTCTCCTCTCTCTCTGAGACAGGCTCTGGACTTTCTCTGCATTCCCCACGCCTAGCTGCAGCATGGACCACTGTGGCACAAATGCCCTCTATCACACTGAGAAGGTGGCTGTAACTCGGGATAAGGGTGCAGGGATCCCACACTAGAGGTGAACACAAGCCTGCCTGGCTCTTGCGTCATGTTCTAAGTACCTGGGGCCTAGCTTCCAGGGCAGTGTGTGTGAGCCCATGTTGGGCGTGGTGGTAGCCTGAGGCCAGGATGTCAAGAGAGGGATGTGTTCCCTCCTCTTCCCCTCCCTTTCTCTTTACTTCCCTTCCCTTCTCCTCCCACCTCCAGTTACCTCACAGCCATCTGGGAAAGTGCAATGTAGCCATCCAATCTAATTAGTGAAACCCTCAGTTCTGACAGGAGGAAACCTCAAGAAAAAAAATCTAGTTTCCTAGGCTCTCAGGCTCTCAAAAGATAATGAAGAAGATCTGATTTCAGGAGTGGAGTCCCAGCGCCTTGATCTTCACTGCCAGGGGCAACCAACTGTGAGCTGAAGCCTCTCTCTTAGATGCCTACACCAAAACTGTGAGCTCACAGACACACTGACTGAGTCTCTCTGGGCTCTCACCTGGGGACCTCAGACACAGCTGTCCACTGAGTCCCTGCCAGGATGATCAGGAAGTCAGAACCAGGATGGTCAACCTTCTTACCTCTCAGGCAAGTGTCTGTCCAGCAGCTCCTGTCACAATACCTCTGCCAGCCCAACCCTGCTCCTGGGTCCTGTTTCAGGTCCCTCAGAGACACCACCACCCCCACCCATCCATCTACCCTTGCCAGCCCCTGAGCAAATGTGCAGGGTCATGTCTCTGCAGACAAGACGGGTCAGAGGACATAATAACAGGAAGAACAAAGGTAGAGCCATTTGGGGTGGCCTTTGGGGTTATGGGTGGGGGTGGATTACCTGAGGACACAGATTCACTATACAAGTGTTGCCCCTCAGACTGAATTACGGGTTGTGAAAAACCCACAGGGGTGTCTTCTAGTAAGAGGAGGGAGAAGAAACACTACAATGCCACAGCAGTGCCAGCCAGCTTCCCCTGGCCACTGGTAATCAGATTCTGTCATGTACAGATTATTAAAAAAGACAAGTGATCCAAACAGTGGCATTTGCTAAGTTCATCTCCTGAGGCCACTGTCCCCTCCTTGATGGTCAGTGACACTGTCCTGTCCTGCTCCAGGCCTGGAAATGGCAGGAGATCTGACTGAGGAAGACAGAACACCCACAGTCTACAGAGGCAGCTGCCTCACCCCTGCTACCCACCTGGGCTGGATAAATCGAGCTGACAACATTGAAGGACAGTCAGGCTTAAGTGGACCAAGGACACGGATTGCAGCTCTAGAAGGAATTCTGCCATCCCTCCTGATAATGGGGGAAAAGACGCCCATGAGACCTCACTAACCCTTGCCATCCAGGTCAGAGCATTGTCACAACTCACCCAGAACACTAGAACATAAAGGCCACACCTCTGCTCCCCTCCCTTGTGCCCATGTATGCCAGCCCTTAACCCATGGGGCAAGCATTTTACACACTGGGATCTGGAAACATAGTGCCCTATGGGTCATTTTATCCTTTTACCTCCCATTCATACAACCATGAGATGGGAGAGCTGAGAGCCCTACAGTTAAGCTTTGCATTTGTTGGGTTAACTTTTCAAAATGTGTAATATAGCTTTAAGCCAAATTGTGCCTTTTCTTACTTGAAAGCTATTTTTTTTTCTTTCCTGTAACAGGGGTCAGTGATCTGGCCACATGCAAATTCCCAATGAAAAGTGTATGACCCAAAGTGAATCAAAGTTCAAATGTTTGTCTTGTTATTTCATAAGAAACAGATTACAACCCCCCAATCCTATTTCTTTCTCTAAGAAAAAAAAAACTGAGAAAACCTACAAAGCATAAAGTATTAAGGTCAAACTTCAAAATGATAGCCAGGTTAATTTATTTTTCCCCCTTTAGATTATTAAAGCATACAATGATATTAAGAAATTGGTGTGGGTTTTATTTTTCCAGTTGTAGGGTTAAATACTGGGGCTTGAATATATTGGTTAGGTAAGTGCTCTATCACTGGGCCCTGGCCCCAGAAATCATGTTGGGGGTGGGGGTCTCTGAACATTTTTCAGAGCTGAGCACATGAGTTTCCTAATGTTTAATTTCTTCCACTATATTTCAAAAGACGTTTATGTGCCGATTTCCTACCTCATGTCATCAAAATACAACCTCTGAAAATTAACATGGACACAGACCATGCCTCCCCATCATGCCAGCATTGCCAGTTTGGCTTAGGACCAACTTCAATTGTGACAGATGCTCACTCGCCCTCTGGCTTAAAATAGCTGTCATAGATGTCAGGCACGGCAAATGCTCTCTGCCAGCTTAATAGCCCATTAGGCAACTTCATGAAAGAGGCAAATGAATCCGTCACCAAAGGGGAGCATCAACTTCACCCACCACCATGGGCTAGAGACCTTGGGTTTATCAATCGTCGAAATGGCTTTGATACGTTAAAAATAGAAGTCGGGCACACTGCTTGGCTACAGAAGCTGCCTGCTAGATTTTTCAGAACCCAACAGCACTACAGTTGGAGAATGAGCACCCTGGAGACACACAGAGCTCAAAGAGGACCCCCACAAAGCTCTCTCTCTCTTGGATCATGCCATGTGGCGTTCTTCCAAGGATGGCATGATGGAAAATCTCTTGCAACTCCAGACATCTACCCTGGTCACAGCCAATGGAGTTCACCAGGCTTTCCCTTGAAGTATCTGCAATTTACACTGAAATCATTCTCCTTCTAGCTGAAAAAAAAAACCCACAAACTATTTTAATTGCTTGAAGCAATTCTACTATGCTGTAATTATCACATTGCCTTGTAATTATTTGCTTTGTGAATGCCTCTCTTCAACCCCACCCTTCTCCACCCCCCAGACTCTAGCTCCTTAAAAGAGCTCCCCATGGCCTTGATACCCAGTACATGTCTGGTGTGTAGAGAAACTCGGGAACTTAAGACAGAGGGAGTCCATTTCAATCGGAAATGTCAGTAATTTTTTTCCTCTTACATTCTGAATCTTATTATGAATCCCAGAATCTATTATACTCATTCAGCTAATCAACAAGACTTATGCACCTTGAACATCCCTTTAAGTGACTATACTAGACTGGTGCATTGTGAAAAATCAGAAATTATCACCACATATTTCTATATTTGGAGTCTTCCATGCCAACCATCTAAAAGAAATTAATAACCCTGACTACTAGAGTCTCTAAGGCCAATCTCACAGAAAAATTAAATATGTATGTGATATACTTAACTCAATGGGTAGCACATGGGAACACTCTTTGAACATTAGCTCTTTATCCCCACATGCTACTTAGTGCCTCCAAAGTGACAACAGTATGGCTTGCAGGGTCATCCTGTGGCACCTGCTCCATCATTGCTGACCAGAAGCATTGAGAAGCCATCATCTGGGCACCGTTTTTTGTATGCTTTCCCCATGAGACCAGTGAATGTTCTGTTTTAATATTACTTCCACTCTTTCGTCTCTCCATTCCCCACTCCAAGCTGTGGATGCTTAGAATCAAGTTAAAAAGTGGACTACACCCTGTGGGGCTCCATGCATTTAATAATAACCAGGCAAAAAGATAACAATGAAGACAGGAAGAACGTTCTAGCCTAAAGAACTGTCTTCTTCTTCAGAGTTCATCAGCTAAGGGAGTTTAGCTATCGGAGTGTGATAAAAGAATTCTCATGACTATGTAGCTATAAACTGAGCCGGATCCTTTGGATGTTGGGTGAAAAAATGATGTAGGAAGAAGAGATAGCAAACCCAACAGAAGTACGCATGCTTCCTCACAGGATGGATAGGTCAACATTAGGAATGGGGCCAGCAGTAAGTGGAACTCTCTTGCCACCAAGAGGCAATGGATTCCCATGGAGAAGAAGTGTAAAAATAGCTAACCATCTCTGTTTGCTCATTAAGTCACTCTCCCATTGTAATGCAAGTCTCTAAGGATCACTAGACTAGAAATTCCCAAACCAATAGGCATAGATATTTAGTTCTTTGCTGAGTGATCACTCATGAGCCAACTGCTATCATTCAAAGGCACACAGAAGCTTGTAAGCAGAGACAGCCCTCCCGCTTAATGACCTCCACCTAGGTGCAGATCCCCTAGGTACACCCTGAACCCATGAGCATGCCTCACCCTTTACAAATAACAACACAGGGGACTAGCTGGTTGCCACAATAATATTTCAAGCAACTTGGAGATGTGCTGGAGTGAAATCCCAAGAGCAGATCCCATAGGTTAGGTGAAATTTCAGATGCCTATCCAAAGAACGAATTAAGATCACTGTCTAACTGATAGTGGTTTGAGTTTTGTTTGGTTGGCTTGGTCTTTTGAAATCTAAAACAAACTCCACAAATCTACGATGCAATGGAAACCAACTCAGGCAATTCTGACCCACAGACGTGGGCCATCATAGATAGTAGATCCATGCCAGTGTTCAGAGATCTCAGAAGGTATATACAATCCCCTTCCCCCAAGCCCTCCAAGTGACATGATAGCACAGTTACAGCCAAAGAGATGCAGCTGTACTTACGCAGGGCGTGCCACTCATCCTGGCGAATGGTCTTCGTGATGTTGAATGTGAGGTTCCTGGGGATGGTTGCTGAGGAGTAGTGGTACTTGATATACGTGCATCTCTCAATTTCACCTGAAAGAAAGAAATAGAAAACCAACTGTGAATGAGTGAGCGCCTCTTCTGCATCCTGGGATCCACACATCCATCTTGAAGAAAGAGACATGTTTATATGGCCAATAAGCTTGACCCAGAAAGAACAAGAGAGTAAGTCTACAATCAGATGGCACTGACTTAGGAAAATGTGTTTCTAGGATCATGCATAGAGTAGAAGAATCAAAATTTGGACTACTAGAAGCTTTTTCAAAAAGTAGTGATCATGTTTGCTGAGCCTAAGGAAAAGCAAATTTCAAAGTTTAAAAAGGCTGATTGCACCTGAAGAACAATATTTATCAACAATACTTAGGGTGTCCTCTTGCCTCCCTATGCACATGACCCACACACCCACACACACACACACACACACACACACACACACACACACACACACACCTTCAAGTTAAAAGACGAATTTGCAGGGGCTGGAGGTTAAAAGCACTGACTGCTCTTTCAGAGGTCCTGAGTTCAATTCCCAGCAACCACATGATGGCTCACAACCATCTCTAGTGGGATCTGATGCCCTCTTCTGGCATAAAGGCATACATGAAGATGGAGCAGTCATATGTAAATAGATCTTTAAAAAAATAAAAGAGGAATTTGTTCTTTACAGACCTTGAAAGAATAATACTCAACTTCATATGGAAAAACAAAAAACCCAGGGTAGCCAAAACAATCCTGTACAACAAAGGAACTTTGGGAGGGATCATCATCATTGGTTTCAGGCTCTACTACAGAGCTACAGTAATAAATACTACAGAGCTACAGTAATAAAAACAGCATGGTATTGGCATAAAAACAGACAGGTGGATAAATGGAATCAAGTCAAAGACCCTGACATAAACCCACATACCTATGAAAATCTGATTTTTGACAAAGAAGCCAAAATTATACAATGGGGGCAGGAAGCATCTTCAACAAATGGTGCTGGCATAACTGAATGCTGGCAGTAGATGAATGCAAATACATCCATATCTGCTGCCCTAAACAAAATTCAAGTCCAAGTGTTTCAAAGACCTCAACATAAACCCAGTTACACTCAACCTGTAGAATAGAAAATGGGAAATAGTCTTGAACTGGCCATCTCCTGTAATCAGATTTACCCCAATTGTCATCAGAGAGCCTTTATCCAGTGACTGATGGAACCAGTGCCAAGATCCACAGCCAAGCATTGGGCCAAGCTCAGGGAATCCTATAGAAGAGAGGGAGGAAGGATTGTACAAGCCAGGGAGTGTTAGGGTCATCACAAGGGAACCCACAGAAGCAACTGGCCTGCTCATCAGAGCTCACAGACTATGGGTTGATGGTTAGGGAGTCTGCATGGGACCAGCCTAGGCCCTCTGCATTTGTGTGAGGGTTGTATGGCTTGATCTACTAATGGGGCTCCTGGCAGTGAGAGTGGTGCCTGTCCCTAATGCTTTGTCTGACTCTTGGGAACCTATTCCTCATACTGGGTTGCTTTGCCCAGCCTCAATACAAGGATATCAGTCCTACCTCAACTTGATAGGCTTTGCTTTGTTGGCACCTGTGGGAGGCCTGCCTCTTTCTGAACAGAGGTGGAGGAGGGGTGCACTGGGGAGGGGGGCAAACGTGAGGTGGAGGAGAGAATGGTTGGAGGGCAGAGGGGAAGCTGCAGTCAGGATGTAAAACAAATGAAAATTTTTAATTAGGAAAAAAAGGAATTTGCAATCCAATAAATTTAAGTTTCCACACAGGCCAGTGAGCTTACTTCAGCCCTGCTGATACTGTCTGTGCTTCCAGCACCCAGTCTTCTAGAACGTGACAGGAATGGAAGGCTACCTTCCTTTTTTTTCTTTCCATCCTCTGAACACAAAACTTTCAAATCAATCTAATTCTCTTTGAACCATTCTCTTCTCAGGTTTCTTGAGACCCTGGCCTCAGTACTTGATCTAGCTACATTCTAAATATTGTCCTTATCTCCACATGTAAGTATGGTCCTCACCCCTGATCAAGTAAACTTTGCTTTGAAACAGAGACCATTACAGAAAACTACAATGGATCAAAATACAGGGTTGTAGATCCCAGCCCAAATAGATACATCTACAAAACATCTTCCACGTCTAAGGCTCAGGATATTTTGGAAGACAGGGAAGAAAGATCTGTAAGAGCCAAAGGATCGGGAAGTTTGCTGTGAGACCATGTCTCCCAGTAATTTCAGAAGCCACACCCATATAGTTTCAGCAACATGAGCTGAACAAAGACAACAACAATAGATATGCAAAAATGGATGGGGGAAAGACCACAAAGTCTCAACCTACACAAAGAACTGTAAACAACTGAGGAGTGCTGAGCATGGGAGAAAGTCTTACTCATGGAAGAGCACATGAATTAGTTATCCAATACCAAATGGACGGCCCTAAATACACATACAAATAGCATTATTCAGACTGAGAAGGTTATATTTAGGAATATAAATGTATCTACATACACATACATGCATGTAACAGCAATTAATGAGAAAATAGGCCACAAATTTTAAAGAGAGTAAAGAGGGGTATATGAGAGGGTTTGAAAGAAGAAAAGGCAAGGGGGGAAAGTAAAAGAAAAATTTAAAGTCACTATTAATCAACTTGCTGTGTAATCAAGTTACCAAACTTTTCTTACATCTTAGGGCAGAGTTTCTTAAAGGTGGCCCCTGGGCCAGTAGTATGAGAATCCCACAGGAACTTGCTAGAAAGGGATCTTCTTGCATGTAACCTCAGATACACAGAAACTCCAAGCTAGAGCCTGGCTAAAACACTAAAGCCTTCCAGGTGGTTCTTGCCTAAGTTTAAGGACTGCTCTTTTGGAATCCAACAGAATTTCAAGGCATTAATTCAAGAACCTCCCACATTTGCAACTTTCCAAAGGAAGGCTGGCTAGGACAGCTTCGATCCTCACTTTCAACCTGCTGAGGATTCTATTGATGTTTGCTTATCTGGAGGATATTAAAAACTTAGTGTCAGAGCATTGTGAAGAATCAGGAAGGGGTGGTTTTTAAAGGTTAGGGGTTTTGAAATTTGGTTTTTCACCTGAATGGATTTTGATGGTAATCCATTTTGCACCCCACTGATTTTCAATTTATAACTGGTGGCACCTGATTGAATTGTTTGACCCCTGGCCCACTGTCAGCAGGGAACCTGGCAATTGGTGGAGTGCAATAATTTACGGAAAGCCTTGTGAAACTGATGCCTTATTGTAAATCATATTTGGACAACTGCCCAGTTGCCAGTTATTGTCGGACATTCCTCTAACAGGACGCCCTCTATCTGGAGACCAAGTTCTGGAGACTGTCATACCCTCTTTCCCTGTACCTTGAGTTTTCAGTCTCTCTATCTCTGAATCAACCTACATGCCCTGGCATCCCTCACCACCTCCACAACACACCTCCTTACACCTTGCCCTGCCCGCCTCTCTTGACTGGTCTAGAAAACATACCTACCAGACAATTCCCGTTGCCTCAACTCAAATCCACCCCACATGCCTGCACTCCCATTACATAATGTCTATTAAAAGCATCACATACCCCCATCTATAACATCAACCCTAAAGCCACCTCCTCCCTGGGAGACCCTTCTTTCATGGTCATCAAGTTCTATCTACCTTACTTCAAAAATGTCCCTGGGATCTTATCTTTCTTCTCTAGACTCATTTTATCCATGGCAGTTGTCCTAATAAAGTCATATGGAACATAGTGCTTCAGCCAAAGCCAGGCCACAGACAGGATAGGGGTCCCTTAAAACAACAGCACCTGCTGATGTCTGATGTCGTGGAGATCTTAGTTCATGTAAACACACACTCTATAAAATTCACAAAGTGAATCAAAATCTCCTATGAACAGATTTTTCAGAACATGTCCCCATTATTAGATGATACATTACAAAAATAAACTAAACTAAACTAGCTCAGCTAACAGCACAGTTATGTCCTTTCCAACCTTACATATGTCACAGCACACATGGAGATGTATAGAGAACACTCTGGTATAAACAACTGAGACCAAGCTCCCTGAAGAGAGAGCCATTTTTAACACACCTGGAGCCGATTTCTGGCTTCTGCTCATATCCCCAAAACTCCAATACAGATAATACTCCATTTAATCCACTGTATGACCTCACTGAGTAGGTTAAACTATTACCACTGTCTCCCTATTTTACAATTGGTAAGGAAGTGGTGGGGAAAAACAACTCAGTGACAGGATAAGAACTCAGGGTTGTCTACCCGAAACCTCCCTCCGCTCAGCCACCCCCTATGCCCGCATGTCATATGTCATACAAAGAAAATATGATCACATACTCTATCAGAGGAATCTGATGACACTGGCTGGTCCTGAGAGGACACTCACATGGTGACTTCCAGGCAAAGCTTCCCTTTGTCAGGGCAGCACTGATGCTGGGTGCTGAGCTTGCACCTCCTTCTCTCCGTTCTCATGACGGAAAGACACCATTGGCTGGGACTTATCTGCTTGCAAGCCTCACCCTTCCTCTTGTGTTTCTCAAGGGCAGGGGCACTGTCTCACCCACCCATCTTTATCTCTTCTGAATCTAGCACAGGGCACACACCAATACCATACACTTTGGAGACAGGCATGGCTACCACAAGGCACCCTTTGGAAGGCCACAACGTACAGAGCCCCAGCTGTATTTATTACAGGCAAGGGATTAAAATAATTGGGGCAAATTAAAAGTGTGATGGCTAAAAGGAGGTGATTGTTACAGAACTCTGAGAGGCTACATAGCGTTCACACTCTCTGAACCAGAAGAGGCTTCTCAGTCACATGAGGCGGAAGTTAGCCACACTGATCACAGATCAGTGGCAAATGTAGGTCAATGGGGCTTTCTTCTTGCTGAGGTGAAGAAACAGGAAAGAAAGACCAGAAGCAGATATAAAACACAGAAGGTTAAAATAAGAATTCCCAGCAATGGGTTGAGTAGTTACAGTGGGGTAGGTTGTGGTCCGCATAACGGAACTTTTTGGAG